TTTCCAGATTTCCAGACCCTAGTTAATGCACTATATTCATTTATATCGTTCTATCTATATTCTGCCTTTTCTCCAACTAAATAATAGTCTTTATTTTTTTCCTCTTCCTCCTCTTATCCTCACAATAACCCAATCAAGTAAGCTTAGCTGAGACATAATGGCTGGCCTAATGGTTGCAAAACAGAAGCAAGGGGCCCTGAAGGAAAACTAATGCTGATGACTTTGAAATTTTAAAGTAAAATCTGGCTTTCCCCAATGTGGTAAAATGTCAATTGAAAAGGCAACCTACATCAGATTGCCTATGGGAAAATTTATCATGAAATCTTCTAGTGCATGGACCATTCTTCTGGAAAAAAAACAAGATATCTTTTGGACTGTCTCCCAAGCTTGAATACTATTCGATTAGTAAATACAGTACAGTACTATGACTACAGTAGTCAGAGTTCTTTGGAGGAGTAGTAGAGTTATGCTGATGACATAAATAAGTTTGCCCAGTTGCAAAAATTTAATTTAATTTAATTAATTTTAATTTTTTTCTACTGTGGTTTTTGGCTAGCAACTGCATCCTCAATATGTAGGTATGAATATTATATATTTTTCTGGCTATCAATATATTCAATAAGGCCTAGAGGTGGACAATGCAAATCATGCAGTGTCTACGGGACAGAGAGCAGTGATAGTGGTAGGATGTGCAATATGGAAGTTAGTGAATCACATGAGCAGGATTGCATCTTAGACAGCTGAGCCACTCAGCCAGTTGAGAACAGTTATTCAGCACATGGTACAGTCAGTCTTATACTTGATCTACCTGCAGATGTGGACACAGTTTTGGGGAAATAACCCCAAAGTTTCCACCACCAGTATCCTGACTATAATGGGAATAAGAACAGTGGTTTCTTTCAGATCTGATAAGCAGGGGACAACATTTCCTCTGCATCAACAGGCAGTGAAAAAAATAATCAAAAAAGCTCTGTCATAATGTGTTGACTGATAAATGGGGACTAAAAGCACCAGGCCTATTTTCTAAGATAACTTTTTTCCTTTGTGAACTACCTAGATTATTACATATTAAGATAAGTGGCTATATATATTCCAGAAGTAAATAAATCAGTAAGTAAATCTGACAAATGAGTTTAGAAATCTAGTCTTTTTGGCTGTAGAAGGCTACTAGAGTTTGATACCATTTCAGGTTGCTCATTACACCCTCATAAAAACAAATACACAAGTGCACTGCTACTATGCAGATGTGATAGCCTAATGGCAGATTACAATTCATTCCTGGCCTCTCTTACATGGTCCATTGGGAAAGTAGGTGTTCGAGACACCAGTTTACATAGAACTAGGATTGTTGCTGTTGTGAGTTCATGCAGTTCCCAACTCAAAGGTCAGACAGGAATCTGCACATCTAGGTGTTGTGTCCTGAGTCTGCTGCCCTTCCAGAAGCTGCCCGGGACCAGACTGAGTGGCGCCAGCTTTGCGCACATGCACAAGGTGCGAAAGCGCTCTGATTGTTGCCATTGTGTCCGGGGATCTGGTCATATAAAAAGAGGCCTGCGTGCCTTTGCTCGTTGTTGGTGTTTTGGCTGAAAACGAAATAAAGAGCTGTTCAGTGCAAGATGTGTCTTCATCATTCATCATTGTTCGAAGGACTTAACACTGGCAACGAAGGTGGGATTCTTTACAAGCTGAACAGGAAGAAGCTTTAAAGACTTACCCAAAGAAGTCCTGAAGAAGGGAAGACGGCGTTAAAATCAGCGTCCCAGCCTCCCGGTATAGCGTCGCTGGAGGGTGAGCTCAGCTGAAAGACCCCTACCTAAGAGAAGCGAGTGGTGAAGTGCAACTACAGGATGGCGAAGATCGGCCGTTTATCCGAATTTGATGTCTCACACCCGGACAGATGGAAATCCTACATTGCGAGGGTGGAGAATTACTTCAGGGTAAACCAGATTAGAGAAGATGGCTTGAAGGCTGCAACCCTGTTGTGTGTCTGTGGACAGGAAGCCTTTGAAATTGCAGAGAATTTGCACCTCTGGAGTCAGTAACATATACTGACTTAAAGAAACTAATGAAGGAACACTTCCAGCCCAAGTTGTCCGTCATTGCTTGGAGGCACACGTGTGAACAAAGGGACCAGAGGGCAGGTAAATCTGCTAAGGATTTTATTGCGGCCTTGAGGCGAGCAGCCAGACCGTGTGAGTTTAAAGATTTGGAAGAAAGGCTGTGCAATCAATTTGTATGCAGTTTAAGGAACAGAGACTTACAGCAGAAGATTTTTGCAAAAGAAGATGTCTCTTTCCAAGATGCTCTGAGAGAGGTTACAGCAGAGGAAGCAGCAGGCAGGGCGGTAAAGAATCTGCGGCCCACCAGGAGCCCTCCAGAGACAGCCACCATCCACCAAGAGGACGTGCAAGATGATTCGGAAGCAGATCCTGAAGAAGAGGTGGATAGGCTCTACCAGGCAGCTGGAAGAAGGCAGAAGGAACGTACAGACAAGGCCCCAGCAGCCCTTCAATGCTTCAGGTGTGGAGGACGCCACAAGCGAGCTGACTGCAGGTTCCGTTCCGCCATTTGCAGAGCGTGCGGCAAGCAAGACCACATAGCATCCATCTGTTTGGGTCACCAGAAGGTACAATATTGTGAAAAATTGCATCTGAAAGGTACCAGGGTCCCCAGCCAAAATAGGGTGAGTTTCTGCGTATCGCGCAGGAGTATTTTCAGGACAGGCACACATAAACCCCTAAAAAAGAAACTTCCCTTAAAGTAAGGTTGCAAGGGGTTCCTTTATCCATGGAGTTGGACACTGGGTCCACTCTTTCCATTATTTCCCTCAATACATTTAGAAAGATTTGCAACAGCAGTGGCCTTCGAGCCAATCTTAGGCCATTCAATATAATACTCACAGATTTTCAAAATTCCAAGGTGTGTGTTAAGGGGGAGGCCACCCTTAAGGTGCAGCACAAGGATTTTGAAGGTCCCTTAGACGTGTTGGTTGTTGGGGGTGAACGCATGAGTCTTATTGGACTCGATTGGTTCAAGGCTCTGGGAATCCAGGTTACTGGGCTGCACAATTTGCAAACGTGGAGCTTGGCAGAAGTCTGCAAGGAATTTGCAGATGTGTTTAGTTCTGAGCTTGGATCCTATAAGGGGCCTCCAGTTTCACTACGGTTAGACCCAACCATAACGCCCATCAGGGTTAAGCCTAGGAGGGTACCTTTTGCTCTCAAAGGCAAGATTGATACTGAGCTGGACAAATTGCTCCAGCAGGGCATCTTAGAACCTGTAGATTCTAGTCCACGGGAAACCCCCATAGTGAAGCCTCTAAAGGCTAATGGGGACATACGTATATATGCAGACTACAAGTGCACACTGAACAAGGCGCTGCAGCAGCACCCTTATCCAGTACCTGTAGTAAGCCACATCCTGGCTTCCCTCAAGAGGGGGGGCGCATTTTTGCGAAGCTTGACCTGGCACAGGCCTATCAACAGTTGCCTGTTGATGAGGCAGCTGCTGAGGCTCAAACTATTGTAACTCATAGAGGAGCTTTCAGAGTAAAGAAATTGCCATTTGGGATGAATGTAGCCCCTGGCATATTCCAAAGTGTCATGGAGAGCACACTTCAGGGTATTCCTGGAGTCTGCCCATATTTTGATGTTCTCATTACTGGTCAGTCATCTCAAAATTTGGCAGAGAGATTAAGGGCTGTCTTGCTTCATTTTAGGCCTTAAGTTAAAGAAGGACAAGTGTAAGATAGGAGTCAATTCTACAGACTTCTTAGGATTCAGGATAGATGCTCAAGGCATTCACCCTGCTGAATCTAAGTTGCAAGCTATCCAGCAGGCCCCAAGCCCTAAGTCTAAGGGTGAGCTGCAAGCCTTCTAGGGGCTATTAAACTTTTACCATGCATTTCTCCCACATAAAGTTGCAGTAGCAGAGCCCTTACACAGACTCTTAGACAAACAAGCCTGTTGGCAGTGGACCAAAGTCCACGAAAAAAAGTTTCAATGAGGTCAAAGCCTTGCTCACTTCTAATGCAGTGTTAGCTCACTTCAATGAGCAACTACCTGTTTGCATTGCCTGCGATGCATCTCCCTATGGGTTTGGAGCTGTACTTAGTCATCTGACGGATGACGGTACTCAGTTTCCTGTGGCTTATTACTCTAGGACTCTGTCTTCTGCAGAGCATAATTATGCTCAAATTGACAGAAAAGCATTGGCTATAGTGGCAGGCATTAAGAAGTTTCATGATTTCTTATATGGCTGTCATTTCACAGTCTACACTGACCATAAGCCTCTGCTGGGGTTGTTTACCACTACCACTCAGACCCTACATATCCTTTCTCCTCGTGTGCTGAGATGGTCCATTTTCCTGTCAGCATATGATTGTACAAGGGTTCACAAAACTGGAAAAGAAATGGTTCGTGCTGATGGCCTGAGCAGATTGCCATTGAACAAATGGGAGCCTGATCCTGCTCCAGCCATTAATATTCTGTCCATTCAAGACTTGTCTGAGTCTCCCCTCAATGCTAGGGATGTGGCTGCTGAAACTGCCACATGCTTACACACGTGCTAACGTGGGTATTATTAGGATAGCCTGACAAGTGCCCTGATGCAGAGTTTCAAAGCTTCTGGCACAAGAAGTATGAGTTGTCCACGTTCAAGGGATGCTTGTTATGGGGTAGCAGGGTAGTAATCCCAGCCTCATTGAGGTCTAAAATCTTAATCTCTCTACATGAGGGACATCGTAGTATAGTCAGGATGAAAGTGCTTGCGCGCAGCCATCTGTGGTAGCCTGGCCTAGATAAAGCCATCAAGGCCCAGGTGCACAAGTGCCAAGTGTGCCAACAGTGCCGGCCTGAAATGCCTCAGGCCCCAGTTCATAGGTGGGAGGAAACTCAAACCCCATGGTCTAGGGTACATATAGATTACGCTGGGCCCTTTCAGGGGCAATTCTTCCTGGTTGTTGTTGATAGTGTAAGAGCGTCCTGCCTCGACTATAAATCAATCAGGAACGGTGCAGTAATCAACATGAATTTATTGCTCTATGTTGAAAACAAAGTCAGCTCTGAAGAAATTCCTTGCCCAGTGTCCCGAATATATACCGTCACCACACCCCCCTAATTATCCCAATTACTCCACCCACACCACACCCCATTCCCCCTTGTGTCAGCTTTTGGTTCTGTAGAGTATCGCTAATCAATAGATTAGTGCTGTAAGTACATCTCCTTCCCCCCCCATCCACCTAACAGCTACAATGTGTCAGACCCAGCGTTCTATTTCGGCGTTTCTGTCTGGTTTAGTTTCAATCTATGCCCTGTCCTCTTCGGCATTTGGTTAGTCACGTGGTTTGCACGTCACTGGGGAAGCGCCGGCAACACCCTAGTAACGGCTCCATCGATCTCGCGCACGCAGGAACGCCTGGAAGTACAATGGATCGTTCGGGATGCCTGGAGGTTCCATGGGCCGTCAGCAGGAGGACTTAATTCGCCGGTACGATCCATGCTGGGTCTGACATTCTGCTTCCCCTCACCACAAGGCCCCCTGAAATAAAACACATAAATCATTCATATCCTCTAGCCCATTTCGGTAATGTTATCTTTCCTCCCTTTTCTTTGGTCTGTGTGGCCATGTCTTGTGATATTGGCGTATCAGGCTAGGGGCCCAGACATCTTCCCTTCGTACCCAGGAAGCATCAGATAAAGGGTATCCCTTCCATAACACTAGATAGTATAGGTTATCCCCTCGCAACCGTGAGTCTATTATGCCTTGGATTTCATATCGCCCCGGGGGGATGGGTCCCAGTGGGTCCTTATGGGGTTCCCCTTTCACAGGCTTCAATAGACTCACGTGGAAGACCGGGTGTATCTTACCAAGCATCTCCGGCAATTGCAGTTGTACCGTAACAGGGTTGAGGATACGTACTATTCGGAAGGGTCCAATGTATTTTGGCGCTAGCTTCTTGCATGGCACCTGTAACTTAATGTACTTGGTGGATAAGTATACTTGGTCTCCCACCCGTAATTGGAATGGCAGTCTACGCCCTTTATTACCCTGCTCTTTTGCTGTCTGTTCCGCTTGTTGCAGTGCCTCCTTTACTTTACTCCATACGTGACTTGCACGGGATAACCAGTCCCCAGTTTGATGTTCCAGTGGTTCCTGCGACTCGCCCCCGGGCAATGGAATTGGATCATACCCATAAATTACTTGGAATGGGGACAACCCTGTGCTTTTGTGTACTGCATTATTATACGCTAATTCTGCAAATGGCACAAAATCTATCCAATCCGACTGCTGGTAGGATACATAGGAACGTAGATAGCGCGCAATCGCTGCGTTGGCTCGTTCCGCCGCCCCGTTGGTACAAGGATGGTATGCGGAGCTTAGTCCTTGGGTGGTTCCAATACTTGCGAGGAATCGACGCCAGAATTGGGCCGTGAATTGAACACCTCGATCTGAAATAATTCGACGGGGCGCTCCGTGTAGCCGGTAAATGTGTTGCACAAACAATTTGGCTAACTTTTTAGCGGACGGCAGGCCCTTGCAGGGAATAAAGTGTGCCTGCTTTGAGAATAGATCCACAACCGTCCATATGACCGTATAGCCCCTGATATTTGGTAAATCAACGATGAAGTCCATCCCAATATCCTGCCAGGGTCGAATTGGGTCAGATACTGTTTGTAACAATCCCATCGGTCTTTTTGGTACTACTTTCGCCTGTGCACAAACATGACATTCCTTGACATACCGTTCAATGTCCTTCCTCAAGCTCGGCCACCAGAACTGGCGCCTCGCCAAATGTAGCGTTTTCACGAAGCCAAAATGGCCCGCCACTTTAGAGTCGTGGCATTGGTGGTATACCCGATTCCTCAAGTCTTGGGGAACATACAACTTATTCCCATACCAAGCCAATCCATTACGATGGGTCAACAGTCCTGGATTTGCCAGTATCCACGGATCAGTCAACAACACGGATTTTAATTCCTCCTCAAATGTTACTAATTTTGCACACTCATCCATCTGTGGGGAACTTATATTGTCCGAAGGTAGGATAGCCTGAACCACCTGTTCCCTTTTACTGTCGTACTGTGGTAGTCGGGAAAGTGCATCTGCTAAGAAGTTCTTCCCTCCCGGTACGACCTTCAGGTGGAACTTAAAACGTTGGAAATACTGCGCCCATCGAACGTGTTTTCGCGCTAATTTCCGTGGAGTTTGGAGGACCGCTAAGTTCTGGTGGTCCGTCCATACCTCGAAGGGGAACTGTGCACCCTCCAACAAATGGCGCCAGGTGGACAGTGCCCATTTCACCGCAAATGCCTCCTTTTCCCACACCGCCCACCGTCGTTCTGTGTCGGTAAACTTTTTGGAGGTATATGCGCACGGTTGTAGTTTACCTTGTACATTACGTTGCATCAGGAGTGCTCCGACGGCCACATCGCTGGCGTCTGTCTGTACTACGAACGGCTTACCCGGGTCAGGATGTATTAACACCGGCTCTTTCGCAAATAGCCTTTTTAGAGATTCAAAGGCATGTTGACAGTCCACAGTCCAATCTAAAGATTGTTTCGGTCGGGGTTTTGCGGTGGCATTTTTGGTGCGTAATAATTGAGTTAATGGTAGGGCCACGTCAGCGAATGAGGGGATGAATTGTCGGTAGAAATTGGCAAACCCCAAGAACCTCTGAAGTTGACGACGGGTTCTTGGGGCCTGCCATTCCAATACACTGCGCACCTTACTCGGGTCCATTTCTATCCCCGTTGCTGAAACCCTAAACCCTAAATAATCAATGCGATCCTTGTGGAACTCACATTTTGATAGTTTACAGTATAGGTTAGCATCCAGTAATTTTCTTAATACCGTCCGTACTAATTGCACATGGTCCTCTAACGTCTGTGAATATATTAGTATGTCATCAAGATATACAAGAACGCCTCTATACAGGTGGTCATGCAACACTTCGTTGATCAGCTGCATAAATACGGCTGGTGCCCCTTGCAATCCAAACGGCATCACCTTGAATTGATAGCTGCCTAGTGGACAGTTAAACGCTGTTTTCCACTCATCCCCTTCCCTGATTCTTACCCTATAGTATGCTTCACGGAGATCTAGTTTTGTAAAGATCTTTCCGGCCGTTAAATGGGTAAGGAGGTCTTTCATAAGTGGTAGGGGGTATACTGGTTCTATACACACAGCGTTCAGACCTCGAAAATCTACACATAATCGTAACCCTCCGTCCTTTTTCCCTTGGAATATGACAGGGGCTGCTATCTTCGAACGCGCTGGCTCTATAAAACTCCTAGCCAAGTTTTTATCGATGTACCTCCTCATTTCCTGCAACTCAGCGAATGTCATGGGATACATCCTGGGCTTGGGTAGTTTAGCGCCAGGAACAAGTTCGATGGCACAATCTGTCGGTCAGTGAGGCAGCAGACTGTCACACTCCTGCTCGCTGAATACCGCCGCAAGGTCGTTATACACCTGCGGATAGTTGACCTCACCCCTCTCCTGCACTGGTTTTGAGGTGTTCAACTTCCCATTCCTATCTGGGTCTTTCATGGCCCGTGGGTGGGGCCCCACCCCAATCCTTAGATGTCGAGAGCCATCCGCCCACCAGATAGTTGGTGTCCATTTGTCCATCCACGCCAATCCAAGAATAACTGACTCGGACATAGTTTGAACGACTATAAATCTTATAGTTTCCCAATGTCCCCCTATATCCATTCTGACAGGCTCTGTCACCAAGGTGGTCGGAGCCCCTCCTAACAAAGAACCGTCCACCTGCTCAAATCGAATTGGAGACTTTAGTCGAGCCACCCTGAGCTGCATCTGTTGCACCACCCCCTTACTGATTAGGCACCTAGTACATCCTGTATCTAGTAATGCCTGAAGGGGTTTCGACTCACCAGTAACCGGGCTTGTCAACGTGATCGGAATGGTGAATGGTACGATGGGTTCACTCACCATTGGGTCCTCCACCGGTCCTTCCTCCTCATGTTCCTGTAATCCAGGGGACGCATCATCGAGGGGTTGTTGGATGGAAGTCTGACCCAGTTGGTAAGCGACCCTTGACTTCTCCACTGTTCTCTTTGGCGTAGCGCCTGGTTTGCCGATCGCCGTTGGTGTACCTATTGGCTCGGGGATTCCACATTCCGCGGCCCTATGGCCTGGTCGGTTGCAGCGGAAGCATTTGAAAATGGGTTTTGGACGTACCGTACCCTGCATGGTTTGCGTGGGACCACCTACAGGTTGATCCTGATTCCTACGGGGTCTATCCTCCCGTCCTCCGGGACGATCCCTCAACCCAATGTCCAACTCTACTGCTGCCCGAAACCAATCAGCCAGGCGTCCTACCACTCCCCTGATTATACATGCCTGACGTATGTTGGTATCCAGACCGTTGCGGAAGTGGTGAATTAACAAGCTGTCTGGCCACGATCTAAGTTTCCCTGCCACCTTTTGAAACTCACGAATGTATTCCTGCACTGGCCTGCCCCTTTGCCGCAAATTCACTAACTGGGCCTCCGCCCGTTGTAGGCGTGTTGGGTCCTCAAACCTCGTTTTCAGTGCATCGAGGAAAAGGCCTACGTCGGCTAACTCTCTAGCCTGGTCACTATAGAGATCTGCAGCCCAAGCGGCAGCCTCCCCTTGCAAACTAGCCGTGACCGCCACCACCCTCGCCCAATTGGATGAGTACAGGGTTGTATAACGGTCTAGATGGTTAAGTACGTGGCTGAGAAATACCGCTAGGCGATCCGGATCTCCGTCAAATGTGAGCGCAATTGGAGGAGGATTCCAAACCATATTCTGAGGCCATGGGGCTGGCCCCTGTCCACCATACGGGACCGCCTCTGGACGTGCCACAGGACGGGGCCCTACTCCCAGGGGTCCCTCCACATCTCTCTCAGGACCCTCCGGGTGCTCCCGCACTCCCCGTGTACTCAGTCCATACCGTGGGCGCTCTGCCCCGGTTTGCCTTGCTACTGGGTCCCGTGGGGTGAAGCGACTGTCAGGCTGCAATTTAAACTCCGGGCTTGACATTTGGAAATGGGACATATAAGTTGGGCTGTCCTTAATGGGGCTGCGGATGGTATTGGGATATATACGTTCCCCGAATTGTTCCCTAAGAACATCTAACGTATATTGTCCTGGGGCCGTGGAACAGCTCCAATCCTCTCCTTCATCTCCAGTCATCCGGCGCTCCCTCCAGCCCGTGAAACTTGGTGCCAATCGCCGTCCCTTACCATCCTCCGGGAGGCCTGCGGTTGAGCCGAACCACCATTCATCGTCTGCGGCCGCCAATCTGCGCTGCCTGATTCCTGGTGCAGCACCCGCGGGGATACGTCCTCTCTCCTTTTGCCTCACTACCGGTTGCTCCTCCCCCCCGGCCTCGGCATTCGGACTCTCCATCTGCTCGTCGGCCTCCGCAGGCCCCTCGTCAACAACTGGGTCTTCTCCCTGTGTCCCTTCAGCCATAGTGTCACAGTACCAGATAGCCGCGAGATGTGTATGCAGGTTGTGAGAGCTGACTTAATTGTAAGAGCGTCCTGCCTCGACTATAAATCAATCAGGAACGGTGCAGTAATCAACATGAATTTATTGCTCTATGTTGAAAACAAAGTCAGCTCTGAAGAAATTCCTTGCCCAGTGTCCCGAATATATACCGTCACCACACCCCCCTAATTATCCCAATTACTCCACCCACACCACACCCCAGTCCCCCTTGTGTCAGCTTTTGGTTCTGTAGAGTATCGCTAATCAATAGATTAGTGCTGTAAGTACATCTCCTTCCCCCCCCATCCACCTAACAGCTACAATGTGTCAGACCCAGCGTTCTATTTCGGCGTTTCTGTCTGGTTTAGTTTCAATCTATGCCCTGTCCTCTTCGGCATTTGGTTAGTCACGTGGTTTGCACGTCACTAGGGAAGCGCCGGCAACACCCTAGTAACGGCTCCATCGATCTCGCGCACGCAGGAACGCCTGGAAGTACAATGGATCGTTCGGGATGCCTGGAGGTTCCATGGGCCGTCAGCAGGAGGACTTAATTCGCCGGTACGATCCATGCTGGGTCTGACAGATAGCCATTCCAAATGGCTAGAGGTTGTTCCTGTGTCCTCCACTACTACTGCCAAGACTATCCAGGTGTTGAGGAGAATTTTTGCAGCTCATGGCCTTCCAGATGTTCTGGTTTCAGATAATGGTCCTCAATTTACCTCTTCTGAGTTCCAGGCTTTTCTTCAGGCCAACCTGATCTGCCATGCAACTTCGGCTCCCTTCCACCCATCCTCCAACGGAATGGCAGAGTGTATGGTGCGCACCACTAAGGATGCCCTCAAGAAACTGACTTGCGGTAACTGGCATCACAGGTTAGCAGACTTTCTTCTTACACATCGCACCACACCTTGCACTTCCACAGGGAAGAGCCCTGCTGAACTCCGCTGGGGTCGCCAGCTCATCACTAAGCTGGACAGGCTGCACCCTGACCAGGTGGCGTCACAGGTGTCACAACCGCGGGCACCGAGGAGACTTCAAGTGGGTGATCCGGTCTGGACTCGAAACTATGGGCCTGGTCATCTCTGGGTATCGGCTGTGGTCTGCAAGGTCTCTGGACCATTGTCCTATGAAGTGGCCTTGGAAGACAGCTGCGTTCTTTGGTGGCACATAGACCAGCTGCGTTGGAGGCTGGACTCTCACCCTTCTGCTCCTAGCTCTGCTCTGGGGAGGAGGAGGATTATAATGTGCATTCTGTGGATCAGTATCTCCGGCCTTCCCTAACAGCTGATGAGGCCATGGGTGTCCAATCACAAGGTTCCACAAGTACGCGGAACAGGAATTCATTGGGAAGGGGGTCATCCCACACATCCACACTTACTCCAGACAGGGAGTCACACCGGGGGTATCCACATTATTCACCCATAATTAGTAACACTTCAGACAGGGAGATTGACCAGGGGTGTCCACACAACTCACAACCTACAAGAGAACTGGAAACACAGCAAGGGAACTGGCCTAATTCTGCAATTGCTCCCAGAAGGAAGTCCTCTGGAAAGGGGGTAAACAGAGAGGCAACTCCTGACTCTGGCACTTCAGGCATGGCCTTGGGGTCCACAGGGTACTGGAGCAATGCAGCTACCCCAGACTCTCCATCTGCTGGCCTTGGGTTCGAGGGACAATGCTCCCAAGAAAGGTCCTTTGTGGAACTGGGGAATACCACCCCTCCAAGGGATGCTGGCTTGGGCTTAGAGGGTCCAGCCAGCCAGTAGATGGGCAGGTCAACCAGGTATTTGGGGCAGCAAAGTCCTGGCCTTCCGAGCCTGGTAGGCGAGCAAGTAGGCCAGGAAACAGCACCAGGGTCACCTGGGGAATTTGGGCAGCAACGTCTTGGCCCACCTAGCCTGATGGGTGAGCAGGGGGGCCAGGCAAACTCTCCCGGTCCGAGGAGGTCGCAATAGGCCAAGTGCCCACCCAAATATCTTAAAGATTTTGTGAAGTTGCTTTCCAGTCCAAAGGGTAATACTCCTAAGGTCACTGACTAAAAATGTTATTTTGTTTTATTTTATGATTCGGGTACATACATTCACCAAAACAATGTGGAGGTGGTTTTGTTTGAAGGCAACCTCAGGTATTCCATTTTCCGGGCATTTGATTGTTAGAATGTATAACACTCTTCCCAAGGAAGGATGTTGAGGGTGTCAGGATTGTTTCAATCTAGGGGGGAGGGGTGTTGTGTCCTGAGCCTGCACAAGCAGGCTCGGAACGTTGCAATGGTCCCGGGCATTCCAGAAGCTGCCCAAGACCAGACTGAGTGGCGCCAGTTTTGCACGCATGCGCAAGGCTCAAAAGCGCTCTGATTGTTGACATTATGTCCGGGGATCTGGTCATATAAAAAGAGGCCTGCGTGCCTTTGCTCGTTGTTGGTGTTTTGGCTGAAAACGAAATAAAGAGCTGTTCAGTGCAAGATGAGTCTTCATCATTCGTCATTGTTCAAAGGACTTAACACTAGGCCTGGCCAGGTTTTTGCTATGGGCAAAGGCAGGAACCACACTATCATAATGCAGCTGCAGACACAGCAAACTTTTTCTTCTTTTGCAACATGCTAGCATTTCCTCTAGTTATTAGTATTTTAGCACACAGTGCCCTGAAGCATGGGAATGCTTTGCATAGGCATGTTCACTGCCCTAAATGACAAATGTCCATCTTTCTGGCCACCTCCTGTGTAGAGTATTCTGTCACAGCAGGTATATTATTATGCTAAGGTATAATGCCTCATGGACCACTAATCTGAATCCATTTAGTGCCAAGTGAGCAAGGATGCTCCCTTCATCCTCACCTGAAGGATCAGATGATCGAGCAAAACCACCAGCCAGAACTGGTGAGTAGGTGCACAACACCCAAACTATTACACAATGGCCTTCTCAGCCTTTGACAATCTTCCACTGACACAGCACTTTTGGGGTTTAGGTAATTAAAAGCAATCTCTGCCACATTCCTGCACTGAAGACACAGTTACAGACTCCTTCTCTGGAAGTGAGCTGTGCAAAATATATATTAGCCATCTCTGAAGAGAGTGTACATTGTCTCCAAAGATAACAGGTGAAATGATATGTGTACATGTACACACACATACTAACATAGGAAGATTGGGTGTCAGAATACAAATTGATCAAATCCATTGCAATGCAGAGACTAGTATTCTAATATATAAATACATCATGGTGGATTTCACTGTAGTCAGAGAATCATCCAATGTAATCTATCATACATTGAAGCACATTAAATGGGAATTCTTCCTGTTAACATCCTGCTTCCATTGACTGTATGGTGCAAATATAGACATATGACATCTGTCTATTTTCCCAACACCCGTGGGGAATGCCATGCATCCAAGGCCACCCATCCAAACCATTCTGAAAGGTTGTGGGATCACCGTGCTGCAAGCTTCAAGGTACCAAAATGTTTTCCCATGGTAATTCAAGGGAAAGCACTCATGCTTCCCATGTGGGAGAATTAATAGGTGCAGACCACGTTTCTACTTGCGTTCTTTCTCCTGTTTGGTGAAAGATGCCCTACCGCTTTCAGGAACCACATGGTCTAAGTAGCCTGACCCTGAAAAATATCTCAGGAATGAAGACCCTAACTGGGGTTCATACAAATATACTATACCCAGGTAGTGATCCATTTAGGTGCTACAGGTTATATTCCCTCATCTTATTATCAATGGCCTCCTGGGATTTGGGGGGGGGAGGTTTGGGGGGGTTTTGTTTTTGCTTTTCCTATGATGTATGATGGATTGCATGTTTGACAAGTAGTTCTGATTTAATTCATGAATAAATCTCACCTAGGACTGCTAAAGAATAGCTTTTCTGGATGTTATTTCTTGAAAAGCCTAAATATAAAATCAGCCATCACAGCAGACATACATTCATAGCAGATGGCAGTTGCCAACTGTACTGTGATTCTATAACTAGGGAAGGTGAAGTGCACAAGTCTTCCAAGTCTTTAGCACTTGCCCCAAACCACGTATGGGTTTACGGTAACTTAGTGCATCTCAGATATCTCCTAGCATGCTTGGAGATAGTCTAGTGCCATCAACTCTCAGATCCTGATAAATGCTGCAGTCCAGCCTTGCTTAGCAGCCAGATTACGCAGACTGTCCCACTGATTCTGCTTCCTTAACCATGCATGCTGTACAGGGTACTCTCCTTTTCATTGTCCACAGGAAAGCCAGTCTGGATGACAGAGACAATATGGCAAGCTCTGGAACAGCATATAAACTGCAGAAAAAAGATAGGAATAGATGCAAAAGTGGATCCGAAACTGGAAACATCATTAAGGGGAAATCAGGTGAGAATGCTGGTGTTTAAGGGAGAATTCAAGCACACATCTCAGTATGGTAAGTGACTGGTAAGGTGTATTAAGACAAACTCTGCCTCTCCAAAACAAAAGTAGACATGTGGGTGGAATTACATTTGTACTTCTGATGTGCTTGAAAGCTAGCAGGAATGGAGGATTATCTTTCTATGATGATAATCAAAAGCAGTCTGTCAGAGTTGTGTGCATTTCCTTTTGTCCTGCTGCTGCTTATTTACCAACATAAACTAGATTGTATGTAGAATAGTAATGTTCACATGTTCCCATATTGTGTGTCCACAACACAGACGTTTGGTGGGGAATTAGACCTTGGCCTAATATGAAGGATGGGAAAGTGGAGACAAGCACAGGTATATGGTTAAAAAGCCATTTGATTTCCAAGAGTATGATCTTTCTTTCTTTGCTCATGCTTTCTGATGCTCTCCACAGTTTGTTTTCCACCTCTTAATTCCTCACTCTCTTTTCCTTTTCAAGCATTATGGAGCACTGAAGTGAGGATGGCTGGTATATGTGGAAACATCTGCCTCATCCTCTCAGGCTGGTTTTGAAACACAGGGCAAAACCTCCACCCTAGCCCAGTGGCTCTACAATACATGTTCAAAACCATGGTTTTGTGCAATAACACAATCTCAGCAAAGGATGCCGGGAAAGAAATGACTTATATTTTAGTCTTTCTCTGCTTACCATTTTTCCTCTGTCTTCCTAGATTGTAGCTGAAACCTAGTTTTCATGGTTGAAGGTGAAATAATAATCCTTAGGAAGACTAAAATGCCTATTGCCTGTTTAGCAGTCCCTGCACATTTTTGTCAAGGTGTCTTCCTTACTTTTTTCCAAAGAGAAGTGATTAAGTCCCTTTCTCATGACAGAGTTTAACTATCTGTCAAAACTGCTCTATCAATCTGTGTAGACTAACTGGAGAGAGAGTTACACCGTGTTCCCTATTTACCTGCAGAAGTTTGATCATCTGGAATTGCACTGCCAAAAGCATGGGTAGCACATCATGCTTTGAAATTTCCAGTCGTGGTAGGCTTCAGGAGAAAACATGCCTTTAACACTAGAAGAGTTAAAGACAATTTAAGGCTGCCTCAGCTGTAGATGGAAGATGAGATGAAATCAACATCATGGGGACATGGTACAAAAACTAGATTGACAGGACATATTTGTCCTGTGTTTGGATGCAAACAAGAAATAAGGCCTCAAAGAGAAACAACTGCTATATTTTGGAGGATGAATAAACAGCCTTAATAAATATATGTGAGTGACAGAATATTCAATAGGAGGGAACTGTGTGAAAAACATCAGACTGTTATTAACTTTAAAAAAAGCTGTTAAAAAGGAACCACAAAATGTTAAGAAACTTACAAATAGCTTAGTACAAATTTTAAGAGAATGAAACAAGTTGAGGATATTATTACTTTTTCAAAAAGGTACAGTTTCAGATGGATTTAAGACAAGTGATTAAAAAAGAATTAAAGGGCTGTGTTGTAATTTATGATTCAATTAAAACAAACTGTGACTCCTAAAGTTTTTATCTTACATATGCCTTGGGAAAATTTCCACACCCTTTTGAGAGCTACAAAAGATGAAACTTTCCCCAATGTAATTTAAACATATCTGGCTGAGAGCTATAATGATTTTTATAAAAAAACAAAAAAATCATTCCTCCCATAGTAGGAGAAAGGGAGGAATGAGTAAGCTGCACTTGAGAACCCCTAGTGAGGAGAACAATGTGAAAGAGGGTGAGGGGAGCACGGAGACAGTGATCACCCGAAAAAGAGGGGGGAGGATCCAGCTCAGCCCAAGAATTGGTGATGAGGGGGTGAATGGTATCATATGTATAGGAAAGAGGAACAGGAAAGGGTTGGATACTGATGGCAAGGATACGTCCAGAATACAGCCCAATCAGCTGGGACCAATGACGAGGTCCAGGAGCCGGATGCAAATGCTGGTTAATTCTATATAAGTTGTTCCCGTTGACTAGCTTTTAACCCTGATGATGTCGGAAGTTTCCGACGAAAGCATCGGTATTTATTAAATTTTTCCAGTTTGGATTTTTCCTGGTGGTCGTGATTGATTTATTTTATGACATGTATGTATGTATGTATGTATGTATGTATGTATGTATGTATGTGTGTGTGTATATATATATACAGGTTTTCGCAGGTGTTTGTATGTAGGTCTTTGGTTATTCGGGTTTTCTCCCGCGTAAAATTGGAAGTGTCTTGGTGACATTTCGACGAAGTCCCATTCGTCATCTTCAGGCTGGTGTTTTCAGCTTCGTGCTTCGAGGAGCACAAAGCTGCTTCATGCTTGCTCCTCGAAGCATGAAGCTGAAAATACCAGCCTGAAGATGACGAATGGGACTTCGTCGAAACGTCACCAAGACACTTCCAATTTTACGCGGGAGAAAACCCGAATAACCAAAGACCTACACACACACACACACACACACACACACACACACACACACACACACACACACATATATATATATATATATATATATATATATATATATATATATATCTTTGCTGTTGCATGAGTCTGCGGTTCTGATCTTGTGTAGGCTGCACCCATTGCACTCGTTGCAATCCATACAGAAACCAATGATGGGAGGCGGGGTGCCACACACACAGCAGGGGGGAGAATGGCCATGGGACAGGAAGCATTGGGGGACCATCTTATAGCAACATGTATCCAGTCATGCCCAAAGCGGGCAAAGAGAGCAACAACAGGAGAGGTGATGATCCCTGAACCTACGAATATACAGACGGATGCAAGATAATTAGAAGCAATACAACTAGCCGGGGCGGGTAGGTTGGTAATGCACTCTATGAGCAGAGCGCAAAAACAGCTGGTCTTATAAGCAGGCTTTCGAACCTCTGGCATTCCACTCTGATGAGTGGCTGACAAAGTGGGAGACTAGTATAGCTATTTCAAATGATAGCTATACTAGTCTCCCACTAACTCTTTGTCAGCCACAAAAATTTTGAATTTACAGTGTTCATAGTATATGATGTCTGCCTGCAAAACATGCTCCTAGATTGGAGCGAAACGCAGAACAGACTAATTTATCCTATACTTGGTAGACCGGGTGCTCCAGCCAACACACACACATACATACACACACACACACACACACACACACACACACGTGTGTGTGTGTGTGTGTGTGTGTGTGTGTTAGCAATCCCCCAAAAATTTAGTATATAGTAAAATTAAGAGGCAATTTTTTTTCAAAATTAGTGGAGAAGAGAGGAAAGAGAATGTTGTTGGAACATCAGTTTATACTATTTATGATAGGAAGGGATATCCTAGGTCCTGATATATAGACTTTTTTCTTGTTAATACAGAACAAATTCAACAACAAATAGATTTGGTAAAAAGAACTGTTGCTCATTTGAACACAAGGACTATAACCGGGATAAAGCTATATTATGGAGAGGAGTAGCTGACGCTCTAGACAGGACTCTTGAAGGAACAAAGCTAATAAAAAGCTGTGGCAGAAGCCGCTGGGGAAGAGACTTTAAAATTGGCTGCAGAAGATGCAACAGAATAGAAAGTAACAGGTTTGAAGCAGGTGGAAGTAGAAAAGCTTGAAGTCTCAGTTGGCATTAATACAAGCTTCAGGTGAGGCCAAAGAAGAAAAAATCCTTAGCAACTGATGTGAAGAAAGTAAAATGTCTAACAAAGAAAGCAGAACATGGACAGAGATGGCTGAGCAGACTACTACAAAACAAGGATACGAAAAAGAGAACAAAAATGTTATAGCTTCAACCAGTGCTTTTTTTTGTAAAAAAAAAAAAAAAAAGGTGCCGGAACTCACACATATCATACAACCCGCCATGCCTACCCTACAAGGTTCCATCCAAAAAAGGTGCCAGAACTCCGTTCTGGGCATTCTGTGACAAAAAAAGCCCTGGCTTCAACCATCACAACTGGGCAGCCAGCTGCTGAAGTTACAAGACCTTTCCCATGTTTAGAAAGAAAAGAGAAAACCAGAGAATTCTGAATGTGGAGACACTGAAACTAAGAAATCTAAACAAGAACCGTTTTGTTTTGTGATTATTGTTAAACTTGTCCTGGTTATTTGTTTTTTGTTGGGGTTTGTTTGTTTGTTTTGTATTTTGTATTTTGTATCTTATTCTTATTGTTCTGAGTTGCTCAATTAGAGGCTGGAGTGGGTACCATCAAAACTGAATAAATAAACAATCAAACAAACAAATCTGACAACAGAAGTAGTGAGGCAACCATGAGTAAAAATGAGTTTGCACAAAATGGAAGAAGCTAAGGAAGAGAATGGGGGAAGAAAGCAGCTATGAAAGGAACAGGTTATTAATCTCTGGAAAAATATGATTGCTGATGCTTATCAAGAAAGAAATCTAGAAAATAAATTTACCATATGCATTTATTTTGAGGATATTAAATTTGAAAGGGTGGTATTTGATACAATGTCATATCATTACTCTGGCAGAATGCATGCAGGTATTAGATATTTTTCATCTGAAGAAGAGAAAACCACAGAGCTACTTGGAGGCTCTCTTCCAGTATCTAAAGGGTTGTCCTGTAAAACATTGGTTAGAATTGTTCAGAGGTCTTCTAAATAAAAGAAGACAGGTCACAACACATTGACCCTACATTACAAAAAAGTAGATTTTGTTAGGACATCAGGAGAAATGCCCTAAGAGGAGGAAAGAAAACTGTTCTATAATGAAGCAAACTGCCTTGAGAAGAGACTTAAATTTTACTGGAAGTGTTTATACAGAAACTGGATAGCCAAATGTCAGGCATGCTGCAGCAATGGATTGTGCTAGGGGGCAAGAAATTAATGTATATGTTCTCCAAAATCTCTTTCAATCCTTACATTCTCTGATTTATTTAAATTATGCTACCTTGCTCCAAATACAATAAACTAAGTTATTATTGTTCTAAATACTGTAAACCTCTTTCCTTCAGGCAACGTAGGTTGACATCTCAGTGAGAATATGAATTTTAAACCCCAATCATCATCTGTCATGAAAACTTTTGAGTTCCTCTGGAAAAGAAATGTAATTTCTTTTCTTAAGTAGGATTAAACAAAATGGGACAAGCAGAATAGAAAGGCTAATGTCACAAGGGCATTCCAAAATGCTGACTCTGAAACTTGACTCAGGTAAGAAGGAAATTTTGGCAATTGTTGAGTATGATTCAGTCTGGAAGCTAGGAAACGCAGCTGCTGCCTTGTAATTAAAATGATCAAGCATTTTCAAAGTCCTTAATTGTCCCAGGTGTTTTCCAACTCTTATCTCTTTTATCCACATAACAAGGACATTATTGTGCAACCTATGCAAAGAACCATACCTCAAGGATGAGCAGAGTTGATAGGATAATAATTGTCATTTATATGTTGCCCAACTTTCAGAGACTTGGGAGACAGGAGGACGATCTGCAACCTACTCAACAGTTCGATAAGAGGGAACTCAGTCCTCAAGGGGGGAGAAGCATGGAAGTATTTTAGAAGGGGCTCTCTCTGGTTTTTCAGAGTCTTTCACTAAAAAGAAAGGTGGGGAGAAATACTTTCAGTCTTGCAAGATTCTGTTTAATGTAACCTTATAGTTAAGATAATATTGATACTCCTGGTTCTGCTTCTTGTCTAGACTACCTCGAAGGACTAACTAAGGAAGCAAAACCATTACAAAAGCAAGTAGAGCAGAACAGGCAATTCTTCCAGTTACATCAGGGGTACACAACTTTTTCTGGACCACAGGCATTTAGATTTTAAAAGTTTGCTAGGCTAGCAGATGATACCAGGACGAAAGTTAAATTTTGTTTAATTTAATTTAGATTATATTTAACTAAACTATTAACATTAAATATTTAATTAACATTAAATATAGTTAATATGATTGTCCTTCATCATGTGTTTAATCACTTTCTGCCTCTGTTATATTTATTTATTTATTTATTTATGAGACTTATATACCGCTTTAAGTGCAAGCACTCTCTAAGCGGTGTACACCAATAAGCAATGTATATATATATTTACATTGTCCCCAACAATCTGGGTCCTCATTTTACCTACCCCGGAAGGCTGAGTCAACCTTGAGCCGGTGAGATTTGAACCGCTGACCTGCTGAACACAGTCAGCTAAAGTGGCCTGCAGTACTGAACTCTAACTGCTGCGCCACCTCGGCTCTTTTTATATGAAACATTACAATTCGAAAATAATTCTTTGTTTTCTCTGAGGGACATAGCCAAAGCTTTCACAGCCAAAGTGAGGCATCTCTGCATTCGATCATAATCTTTTCTCAAGACTAAAGCATACCCAGCTTCTTCAATCTCTCTTCATGTGACTTTATTTCTAACTTCCCATCAATCCATTTTGTCTATCTCTGAACCAGATCCAAATTCTTTGAATCCTTCTTCAAATCTAGAATGTTAAGTGCATCCCATGGATATGTTCACAAATGACTGTCATGGTGCACACAGCAGGTCATAAAACGTTACATTTTCAGAAGGCAAATTAACAAGGATTCTCCTGGTTATATTTTGGTAGCTCCTCAGAATGTGACTTACCTCTCCTTAGCTTATTTTTCCCAGCAATATAAGATATGGCTTGTTTTCTTGACCATTGCATAATCAAAAAGGGTTTTTTGCCCAATCAGTGGGAAATAATTAGTGCTTTACTATATGTGTAGTATGTAAAGTAAATCACATTATTCAAAGTAAATACCCTACATACTATATTCTTTTCTGAAAATGTGCAAATTATATCCACCTTATTCTGTAATCAGATGACAAAGCATTCATCCAATAATTAACATCAATTACTTTGATCTCTGTACCGGATGCTAATCATTTTTTTCCTTAATCATATTTTCCTCTATAGAAATTTTTTGATAACACAGTTTGTGTTATAGTGACATATAAAAACTATTGATCTCTCAGTTATCAAAACCAAACATTTGTCCCTTGTAATAACTGAGGCCCAGTTACTGAAGTCCACTTGGAATTCCATTAATACATACTTGGGGGTTTTATATACCCTTTTAAAAAAAATTACTAAAAGTT